GGACAATGTTTTTAAAGGAAGGACTGTTGGGGACAATGTTTTTAAAGAATGGACTGTTGGGGACAATGTTTTTTAAAGAATGGACTGTTGGGGACAATGTTTTTAAAGAAAGGACTGTTGGGGACAATGTTTTTAAAGAAAGGACTGTTAGGGACAATGTTTTTAAAGAAAGGACTGTTAGGGACAATGTTTTTTAAAGAAAGGACTGTTAGGGACAATGATTTTTAAAGAAAGGACTGTTAGGGACAATGTTTTTTAAAGAAAGGACTGTTAGGGACAATATTTTTAAAGAAAGGACTGCATTTTATGGACGATACAATTTTTGGGGATTTCAAAATAATGTACTAAAATATAAAAGTAATCAGTTCAAATCTGGAACAAATATAAATATTGTAATCATTTCTTATAAATAACATTTCCTAATGTAATTTTCCAAGATATTAAAGATCATAATGCAAAATAACTAAAATTATCAAAAGTAATAGGCTTTATGTTTCGTAAACTACATGCATTTATGGAAGTTCTTATGAAGTTTCACACAGTTTCATCCACTAATTTTATAGTTGGAATGAAATATAGCAAGACTTGCATTGGCTACTAAGAAAGTTAGTAGCCGGTGGTCATCGGGTTAACCAAGATAACTTCAAGCTAGTCATTAGAAAGAAAGAAGCCCATAGGGACAACTTCTGTGGCTATACCTCCCATTCAGACGCCTCCACCACTGGAGAAAGAGCTTAAATCACTCATCTGGCAGTCTAAAGTTATAATTTTCATATACTGAAAATGTATTTCCAATAGGCACTTCCCTCTTCTCACAAGATAAGCTATTCTCGTCCAGTGCTGTCCTCTATATACACATTTTTCCTTTATGCATGCCACAAGCCTTCTGTTCCCCCCCCCCCCTATTGGAATCGAATTATTCCAACATGTCTCTCATCATGCATCACTTGTCCACCAATAGATGCATGACATACTCATGTGACTCCCTCTATACTCCTCTACCAAACCATCACTTCGAGGTTTGGCAGAAGACGTAAGCACCAGAGGAAGGTGGGGAGGGAAGTGTGAATGGAGGAAAGTACCTATTTGAATACATTTTCAGTACATGAAAATTATAACTTCTGATACGATACTTCTCTCTTCTCACAAGAATCCCACATTGATTAGGTGGTGGGACCAGTGCAAGGGAATGACAGAAGTACCCCCCTGAAAGCATCCAAAGGATGCCCCTGGAAATAAGAGAATCAGATCTGAACATTGTAACCACACCACTACTGAACCAGGTATACTGTTCATTTATCCATGAAATGTGTAGTAGATAATGGTGGAAAAAAAAGGAGCATATCCAAGTGGGAGAGGACTGTGGCAAGATAATGATCCTAACCATGTAAATATATATGTAACTCAATCCAACAAAGTATAAAAGAGTGTAAAACAATGGATGTACCCCTAGGTGTAGAGAGGCTAGGGTGCAACAGACTATTCTCAGTCAGTCAACTACATCCAAATCCCATGCCACTGGGAACCGACATACACGCAGGGGTAGGATGAGGATCATACCATCTTCAACTCAAGTTCAAGAGACCAGGGGGGAATCTAGAACCACACCAACTCCTGAGTATGATACATGTTAGCTTTAATCTATCAATCCAGGGACCAGACATCCAGTATTGAAAGGATGTCTATATAATATATATCACCTCCCCCAACAGTGGAACCATCCGAAAACCACTAACATTCCTGGAATAAGATACAATAAGGGACAGCAAAAAGGACAGAACCCCCTTACCTCCACTGTGATTCACAACACAGAAGGAGTACAATCGAGAGAGGAATATGGACAACCATAAATATGTGTGAGGTCTTATGTTGATTGGTTATACTCTTAACTCCAAAACCCAGCCATGGGTACCGACATCCACGTGTGGGTACGATGAGGGCCCCCAATCGAAGGGGTGAACTGCAATTGGACGTCTCACTCCTCTGTGAGTGTATATTTCATATTGGAGGATAGCACGTCATCTACACCTGCAGAACACAACCACCCTACTCTGCACTGAATGGTTATGGTCATCTTTGCATGGAACCCATTCAGGAGGGTGCCTCCACAGTCAACCACCCCAGCTATTTGGAACTGGAAAGTGGTAAGGACTCCTATACTCCACTAGAAGAAAAGGGATGAGAATGCGGTGGAGAGTCCGGAGGAACATCATCACTTGAGACAGTGAAACCCTATTTTCAAAAGCAGACCATACCAATTTATTCAATACAAGGCACGGCAGGAATGAACAACTATCCCCTTCTGCTTTACCCATACAGTCCATTGGTTGGGACAGTCCAGAATACCTGGCTAGACACTACTTGCCACAGAGCGGGATTCATATAATAAGTAAATAAAGCAAAGGTCCCTGAAAGGAAAAGAAAAACTATGAATATAAATTTACCGTCAAAGTTAAACTTGAAGAACGGCCACAGGTACCTGATGATGACAAAACCCTGTTGAAACGTTGTACATTTGTTGTTATGTTAAACTTATGTTAAGGTTTTTCTTCATTACTCATTCAAGCCGTCTCCAAGCATTATTAGTCTCAAAATGGGTTACTTGTTATCGAATTTGATGTTCAAAGTATTTCAGAGTTTCACTTCTGTTAATATACACTTAGTATAGTTTATTGATCAGAAGGTTAAGATGACCAAAGGGGCTTACCAAGCCTTTCATTCCAAGCTTTGGAGCAGAATTTCATTAAAGGAAATATATGCCAGATACGAGATGATAGAGGATTGAGCTGGGATGTTCATGTGACTGAAAAATCAGTGACATTTGTTTTTAAAATTTAAACAGAACACATCATAGATTGTGATTAAGCTCAGTAGCTTTTTACAGAAAATTTATAACAAATAAATATATATAGATGTTTTTGAATTAACAATTGGAAACTTAATTGTCCAAACATTTTGAACTTTTCGTTCAAGAAACCAACAGCATGACACAAGGCGTAGTCAGCTTCATGGCATATAGCATATATTACAGCTGGAGGATGCACCTATTGATAAACAAAGACTGATTTATAACAAACAAAATAACATAAAAATATGTAACTTATCAAGACATTTTAACCACATGAAAAATTTAATACGTAATTTCCTAAACTGTCATCACTTTTTACTCAGATCTATATTATCAGGATATGTTTCCCCTTTCTACTAAATGTTAACAAGTAAAATGTAAATTACAGAAAGAAACATTGATAAACCTTTAATATTGCAAGATATTTAGAAGTTCTACAATATTAGATTTTATCCTCACACCTTCTTTTTGTGCCAGTTTCTTACATAAATCTTGTGTGAAAACAGTAACAAAACTGAACTGTGGAGTTACTGGAACCATTACATGTAGGTGTGAAGGTTAGAGAGAGATGAGAATATTTTAACCATTCCATTCTCTATGAGAGAGACAGAGCTGGACCACAAATCCTATTTTATAGATAACATCCAGTTACTTGTAATTATGATGTGTGAAAACAGTAACAAAACTGAATTGTGGAGTTACTGGAACCATTACATGTAGGTGTGAAGGTTAGAGAGAGATGAGAATATTTTAACCATTCCATTCTCTATGAGAGAGACAGAGCTGGACCACAAATCCTGTTTCATAGATAACATCCAGTTACTTGTAATTATGATGTGTGAAAACAGTAACAAAACTGAACTGTGGAGTTACTGGAACCATTACATGTAGGTGTGAAGGTTACAGAGAGATGAGAATGGGAATATTTTAACCATTCCATTCTCTATGAGAGAGATAGAGCTGGACCACAAATCCTGTTTCATAGATAACATCCAGTTACTTGTAATTATGATGTGTGAAAACAGTAACAAAACTGAACTGTGGAGTTACTGGAACCATTACATGTAGGTGTGAAGGTTAGAGAGAGATGAGAATATTTTAACCATTCCATTCTCTATGAGAGAGACAGAGCTGGACCACAAATCCTGTTTCATAGATAACATCCAGTTACTTGTAATTATGATGCCACAGCCTCAATCATCTTTAAGAATTAGTTTCAAAACATAATTTACCCAAATCTTCCAAAAGGTAAGCACTTTTACTCATAATTGGAGAAGGTATGCTAAAAAACAGGGCCATCTCCTCCAAACATCTCTGCAAGAGTTTGTTACGTGTATGAATCATGCCTATGCGAAAGCTTGCTAATCCAAGAACCTAAAGAGAAAAGTTAAATAATGCTGTTATACATATATCTTTATTTAATAAGTATACATCAGTTAATAACTAGTTAAAATAAATAAACCACATACATATATTCTAAAAAACAATATAAAGAAAAAAAGGGAACAATTAACTGAAATAAGTAATATTTTTGTAACAACATGGGATTAAAAATAATTACTTTAAATTTCTATCCAAGTCTCATTTTATTTCATATTTTTTAACTTTTTACTTCACTGTACATTGATGGTTTCACTACAGTTAGTGTTAAGGCAGATAAAATAACATATAAAATATAAAGTTAGTCACCACAAAACAGTTGTTTGATTCTCATACTAACTTAAAATTTTACAAAACACATTTCTCTTTTGTACTATTATTAATTAAATTAAGTTTATAATTGACAAAATCCAATAAAAGTTTTACATATGACAATTTTGGCATCAGAACAGGAAATTAATTTTTTTTTGTCTACAAATATTGGGTCTCCACTAATGTTTGTTTGTTTCAAATATTGTAACGAGTTTAGTTTCAAAACATTTTACTTTCATTCTTAGAATGTTTTAATTCTACACAGAACTTTGAAGTACAAACTCATCACCAATCTTCAAATTATTTAGTATACCTTTGGTTCTAAAATAAGATCTTATAATTTATATACTAAGATAGTCAAGTTTTGAAGGTTATCCTATCAAGTTCTGTGTAGCAGTATTTTTCATATTTTATACCATATAAGAGAAAGCTTGTGATATAATTCTTGTTAACTGGAGGACGTTTTCTCATAATATGGTTACAATGGAGATTACTCACATTCTGCTCACCTCAGTCAGACCAAACAAGATATGAGTTCTCTCTGGATCGGGGATAGCCAAACTCAGGACACTTTGGAATCTTACATTTTCATCAAAAACTGAAAACATATAAACTTCATCCACAATGATATGGATTTTTTTCCTATGAAAAAAAGAAACAGCTGTATCATTAAAATAACTTAAACACTTCTAACACTTAAATGTTTGTAAGAACAAATGAAAGGGAGTACTTGATAAAACAAGGTTCTGTTGTAAACTAACAAGCACATATTTACAATACAGTAGAACATGGTTTAAATATTATTAAAAAAGATAAAATTTTAACTCGATTATTCATATAAATAAACACAGTTTTACAGTTCTGAGATACCAATACATTCATGTTTTATACATATCAATACACATACATAAACTTACCTACAACAAAAATGAAGAATATCTGAAATCAACGCAGGACCGTAAACTTGTCCAAGTGGGTCATGGGGGTTTAGCAGAATCATTCCTCGTACATTCTTACCCTGAAAATAATATAAAAACGCACACCAAAATATGAAACCTTAATTAAGCTATTACTCAAGAACACCAGTTGTTATCCTTAGTTTAAAAATCTCTGTTCGCTATAACAGAAGATATATCTAAAGATACTTAAACATGTAATTACGACTTAGAAACTTACAGCTTCTAAAGCTCTTTGATATCCATCTTCAATCTTTTGTAATGTCAGTTGAAACAGATGATGTTCTCCTCCTTCTATCTGAGAAGAAACAAATATTTTGACGAAGGAAAGGAACATCACTTGTAATCTGATGATAGCATTCGTCTTTTAATCAATCACTAACTTTCTAATGTACATAACTTATAACCTTACTTTACATTCACATCCTTGATATGGATACATGTACACAAGAAAATAGCTTCCTTATTTACATTACACACATATAAATACACCTCTATACGTTAAACATCATTTCAAACTTCAAATAATGCATGACAAACCTGAAAACTATCATATAATACATCTTTATATTTATTTACTGTCAAAAATCAAGAATGGACACATTTAAATGTAAAATATTTCATTACAAGTCTTAAGATAGCAAAATTAAGTCCATTCTCTACACTTTCTACATTCTGATTTAACCTGTAAAAATATATGCAGACTTAAATATTTTACATACAGTGTAAATTATTTCATTACAAGTCTTAAGATAGCAAAATTAAGTCCATTCTCTACACTTTCTACATTCTGATTTAACCTGTAAAAATATATGCAGACTTAAATATTTTACATACAGTGCTGGTTAGTGGAATTGGCCATATATCTACTGAGGACAACTGCCCAAAGTCTAAAGGTATTCGTCCACATACTGGTGTAGGAGACAGGATCACATCTTAAAGATAAACAGTAATAATATTAAAGTAATGTTAAGTGAGGTACCTACTGAACTGAACAATTAATTGAAAATACAATAACTTCAACTTTTACAGTTTGTAAATTCTGATCTCAATAATTACAACGTTTTGATCCACAGTGTCGAGTCATCAACAGGTAACGGTTGGATTCAAAAAATATAAACCCAATACTTTGGTTGATATGTTGTTAATATTAAAAACAAAATGTGCCTGCTATGTTTTTAAATTAGGATTTTAAACTAGATTTCTTACATATTCAAACACTGAAACTAAGTAACTGGAGCATTTTTATTTACTTTGAATATACTACATTAACCCAATGCATACAGCTGGGTCAAAGTGCACATATCATTTACAAAGTTACATTCAAATGTACATAGTTTACAAGTCAAATTGCTAATGAATGTGGCCTAAAATGTAGATAGTTTATAAGTCAAATTGCTAATGAATGTGGCCTAAAATGTAGATAGTTTATAAGTCAATTTGCTAATGAATGTGGCCTAAAATGTAGATAGTTTATAAGTCAAACTGCTAATGAATGTGGCCTAAAATGTAGATAGTTTATAAGTCAAACTGCTAATGAATGTGGCCTAAAATGTACATAGTTTATAAGTCAATTTGCTAATGAATGTAGATAGTTATAAG